AATACATGTGATACGGTCACACTTCCGCTTTAACCCGAATCACCTCACATGATTCTACTCCGCTTTAGCCTACCCCCGATTTTGGTATCGATTTTTTTGTATATCAAATACTGAAAAACTAGATCAACTTTTATTAAATTAAAAAAAAAAAACTTCTAATATAAATTCTTCAAAATCCAAAGTTGTTATTTTTGCTTTAAGAAAAAATTGGAAATTTTCTTTATTAAAGGATTAATTTTTTAAATTTTCTGTGGTAAGTTTATTTTAATATGGTTTTTAATCTGAGAAAGAGTTAAGACCTCAGAAAGATATACAGTATAATAATAAACAACTTACTTTCTAGACATGGACCTATTGGATATCCAATATATTACAATATGATGTTTTTGACATCAGGTACCCAACCCAATATGTGATATAATATTTTTCATGCCAGATATTTTGCATAAATACTGGTGAATGATTTGTAAATAGGAAGAATGATTTGTAAATAAGCAAGGATGATATGTAAAACAGGCAAAAACAGGATGCAAATAAGCTTATAAAATTATTTAAGAATTAAAAATTTTAATACATTTAATAACTTTCTGTAATATCCAAAATTCAATGCTGTTCTTTGCTTTTTGAGACTTATAATTTTTACATAATTTATTACTACTTCATTGCCATCACAAATCATGATATTTTTGAAGATTAAATATAATTAGCTAGTTTTAATTCAAGGTGAAAAGGACATCCTTATATATATAATTTTAGTATAATTTATTGGGTTCTTGTTATTATTTTATGTCAATGTTATGTTATTTACTGATTTCTCAGATTATTTACAATACCTTTTAGAACATATAATTATTCTATTACATACTCTACTAATATTTTTTTTTTATAAATATTGACATATGTAATTCTCAATGTTTTCAACAAAATTTTGAACATTGGATAAGTTGGAAACAAAAATGTCGATGTAATCATTTCGAGAATCTCAATCAAATTGTACTACAATCTATTCCTTCGTTGAATTGGTTCCATATTCCCAATTTGAATTGATAAAGGAGGCTTGGAAAAGTATACGTATTTAGCTATTTGGGAGGAAGGAAATAATCAAAAGTGAGATATTCTCGAAAGAACAATGTTTCAACTTAATGTAATAAAAATTCATTAAATTCATTTAAATTTAGATCGACAATTATACCAACTTCATAGGGTTTATAAAAAAAGATTTTTCACGAGAATGCCAAGAATTTCCCCCCGAATAGTTATAGGGTTTCTAAATTTAATATCCGGAAATAATTTACCAATTTGTGTCATCTCACGTTTCAAGCCGCACAGACTAATCTTTTATATCTTTCCTATTAATTTATTTTTTATCCAAATGGTTAAAAGGAATTTCACGATCAGGGTTCTTATAAGAATCATTTTTAATCAACTTATTTTTGTCATCCCAAAAAATTTAAATAATTCACTTAAAAATCCGCAAGAATTAATTATTTTCAATGAGAATAACAAGACGTACAGCTTTCACCACTCTTATAACCTCAACTTTAATCTATGGAATTTTAATTAGTATTTCATACATAAAAATAGGACCAGAACAAAATATATTAATTCCTCAAAATTTTAATATTTCAATATGTGAAGAAATAAATAATTCAAATAATCCTCCTTTTCCAATAGTTGAAGAATGGATCAGCAAACGACTTTATGATACGGATCACGGATCATTTAAGAACACCAAATTTGATATTGTATATACTTGGGTAAACGGAAGTGATCAAAGACATAGAGAATTGCGAAAAAAATATCGTAAAATTCGTGATAAAGAAAGTTGGTATCGGGATTTTGATGAATTACGATATTCAATGAGATCAATTGAAAAATATTTCAAAAAATTTATAAACAAGATTTGGATAATTACTACTGATTATGAAAGTGACGAAATGCAAATACCAAGTTGGTTAAATAAATCTTGGGGAAATTCTGATCCAAGAGTTGAATTAATTAAACATAGTGAAATATTTAATGATGTAAGTGTGTTACCAACGTTCAATTCATTGGCCATTGAAAGTCAGATGATGAATAATCCCAAATTAAAAGATAAGGTATACTTTATTATTTATTTATTTATTTATTTTTATTTTTATTCAATATTTATAAAATTGATCATAACAATAAATCAAATTTATAGATAATATACTTTAATGATGATCTGTTTATGGGAAAGTATTTAGCTTCAAGTGATTTTTGGACTCCATTGTACGGTTTTGTATTTCATATTCAACATGATTTAACTGTTCCTCTTCAACCTGGTAATTATGATGGTGAATGGTATTCCTTGTATCACACAAACATGTTATTAAGTAAGTTCTCATTTTTTTTTTTTATTCATAAAAAATATTTATATTATTTAAAATATTTATATCCATTTATCCAAATTTTTTATATAGGTAAAAGATTTGGATATCGAGAAAGGGGTTATGTAACTCACACCTCACATGTTTTATCAAAAACAATCCTTAAAGAAATTTCTGAGGAATGGGCTGAAGAATTTCATACCACTTCTTCACATCGATTTCGTACAATAGATCCTGATATCCATACCACATTTATGTTCACTCATTATGTTATAGAAAAACATCGTGAAACTCTTTTAAAAAGTTTCCTAATATTTAAGAATGATGTTAATCATAATTTTAAATGGGAATTATCAGAACGTCAAAAAATTTTAAAATCTCTAGGTTCAGGTGAATCAATTGGTAATGATCGAAAGACATTAAATAATTATGATAAAATAATTGAATCTACTGGAATTGAAATATCTTCAGAGTTAAAATATACTTGGTCAAGTATGGATGGATATCCATATGCAATAGTATTATCCAATAATTCTTCGCCAACCGATAATAATGTTCACCAAACTTTAAATCCTAATAATCATCCTCCATCAAAAAGAAAATGCAAAATCGACTTTAAATATTGTTTCGGTGAAGATTTCATGAATAGAAGAATAAAAAGCGTAGATATTGAAAATATTTTTAATAGAATAACTTACGAAAAATTAGAATGTGGTGATTGCATAATTCAACATATTGTGAAATCATCAGGAGATTTGGGTTTAGAGGATTTCTTACCACCACCTAACAAAAAATCTTTAATAATGGAACAAGATGGTATCTTTCAACCAAATATTGATGATAATTTAAAAAATTACGGGAAATCTCAACTTGATTATCGCTCATTTGCGATCTCTCAATTATATAAATATTCTTACGTAATAGGAGAAAATTCTTTTGATTTTATATTACTCAGAAATTTTATGACAGCATCGATTGATTTAAAAAGATTGGAAATAACTAAGCCCTCGATATTTTGTATAAACGATAACATAATTTCCGATTTAGAAATAAATCCAATTAAAAATCGGTTCAAAGAATTTATGGAGAACTATTATAAAGTACCGAATGAATATGAGAAAACTCGGAGTTGAAATAGGATTATATTAATAATCATCATTATTAGTTAGTACCTTATTATAATAATCTAAAAATCAATTTTAATTTAGAAATTCTTAAAAGATAAAATAATCGGATTAATAAACGATCAATCCGAGAATATTGATAAAATAAGTATTTGTAGATAATTGGAGATAACTTATTTTACACATGAAAAATTGATATCAGACTTCTTGAGATGAATTATACAAATAAGATGGCTTAGTAAACAATGACTAACAATGACTAAACATCTTGATACGTATACAGGATTTCTCTCTACTTGCTTTATTTTACTTTATCTACTTTAGAACATAAATAACTAAGTAAATGTCGAAAAAAAAAAAAAGAAAAAGGGGTATCATCTTCAGACCTTATTTTTTTTTTTTAACACCAATATTTTAAGACCAAAAAATAATTTATGCACTTCAGCGGAACATCTATAATAGGAATCTAATAATATCTTAAATATAGTGATAAAATTAAGAATAGAACCGATTTAATGAAATAAAAAAAAATAATAATATATACGAACTAATCATATTCATATTAGATCAATTTTATATTTTGTAACGAAATGGTAAAAATATCATTATAAATATCATCAGGCTCTTCTAACATCACTTGTTGATAAATTTATATCGCAGGGATAAATGTAGGCACTGCAAAGGCATAAAGTTACATAAGATTTTCAATTTTTTTCGTATACGTTTATCTATAGTTAAATTTTTTTTATTTACCTTAAGCGTGTAACAAACGTTTTCGTCATTTAAAAATGAATACGAATATGGAAAATTGATTAATTAATTGCATTTGTTTGCATAGCTATTTTAGTGTCTTTTTATTTCAATTTTCTTTTTCATTGAGAAATTTGCTAGTTTCAATATAGAAAATCGAAAGCGCAAAAAAATTATATATTTTTACTACGCCATCTCTTGAATAATGTTCATAAGTAAAATAATGTATTATAAAAATTCACTTGATAACATGAATATTCTATTATATTTAAACAAAAACAAAATTCTAAATACAATTTTTATATGATTTTTTATCATTCAGAAATTTTCTCAAACCAAATCAAATTATTGAAGAAGATGTAAAATATAAACAACTTGCAGGAATTGCTGTAAAAGAAAATATGTCTTTAGAATTGGATATTAATTCATATTCTGAGGAAGATGATATGGATTTTGACGAAGTGATCGATTCAGAAACTAGAATGATTAAAGAAAATTATTCTGATATAATGTTTGACTTTAATGATATCAATGAATCTATTGAAGAAGAAGAATCGAAATTCAATAACAAAAATTATGAATTAGATGACGACACGTCAATCTCAGAATATCAAAAACCTTATCAAGACGAACAAAATGATACCATATTTGAAAAGAATATTATTCCTAAGGAAGAAAATGATAAAGAGGATAAAGGTGAAGATAAACAGCAGCATAAATGTTATGAATCTGATTCTGTTGTATCTTCCCAAATTATTACAGTAACATCATTACCATTAGAAATTGAAGAAATTGCTAAAATTCATGATACTCATAATAATGAAATGAATGATGTCGAAGAATTCACGCCGATCTTTAAAGAAAGAAACCTTGATCCTGATTCTTTAAAGCAACAACCATCATCTACTTTTAATCAAAAAGTTTCTTCTTTAATTCGTACGATAGAATATTCTCTTGAACCTGAGGAAGAAGTTAAAGACCTCCTTAATAAATATGACAGAGAAAGTGATTATGAATTATCTGACGACGAAAAAGTGACAAAAAATAATCAGTACATTCAAAATGATGATGAAATCTTTGAACTGGCATGTAATTTTGAAGATTTTGAAGATAATATTAATGACAAGGAAGTCCTTTATGATATCAACGATGAACAAATCAATCTGGAAGAAAAAGAAAAAGAATTGAACATTAACATTAAACCAGATAATCTTTATGTTGATTCATCTAAACAAACTGTCATAGAAATCAATAATATGATACTTCAACTATATTTGGAATGTAAAGATATAAATGAAAACCATTCAGAATTTTCATTTGCTGAATCAATTCTTAAAGGTTCAATACCTTCATAATAAATTTATCAAGACTTTAAATAATAGATTATTTTTTTTATTTTTCTTACATATATTAATAATAATATTTTTTTTAAATTTCATAATCAATAAAGTTTCTTTTTTTTTTCTATAGTAATTGCAACAGAAAACAACATGTTTCTTTGTAAATAACTTTCTTAAAAATGAACAATAAAATTAATCATTAATTTTCTTGATGCGTTTTTATAAAATATACATTTCTTCATTTTGTCGAGATTTTTAAGAATACTTTGAATATAAAATACAAAACTTTGAGTATAATTATATAAAACGTGATTTTGTATATCATGTGAGAGAAGATTTTTTGGAATTTAAGGATGTGATTACAAAATTTTTACCAGTAAAATTGCATCTACGTGATCTTAACATGACCAAAGGTTTATAACTTTTGCTACAAGCTTTTAATTAAAAATCTGACTGGAGAGCATGCCTTGAAGAACAAAGTTACTGGTTTACTTTTCTAGATTTTTTCTTTTTTAAGATGTTGATAGATTTTAAAGTGATATAATTTTTATTGTCGAGTATATCATAAATTTTAAATTTTAATTCGTAATTTGTATGTGAATCGGAATCACATGATGAAAATTATTGATCATAGTAAAATAGATATTTTTTTCGAATCTCATTTACCTTGGTTTCTATGCCCTTTAAAAAACAAAAAAAATACAATAACTTTCAGCTTTGTAACCTTATCCCAGAATTTTCATTACAGCATATATATACAATAAATTGGTGCTTATAAAAAAAACTAGTGACGAAAAATAAATATGAAAAATTAATAAATTTTATTACCACTGGCCAAAATTAATATTAATTTCGGTTGAAATTACCAAATTTTCTGAATTATACATGCCAAAATCTCGCTTTACTTACGAAAATAAATAAGTTTTTCTATTTTGATTAAAAACAGATTGTCAATTCTTTATCTATAATATGCCAGATTTTTCTTTTAGTTGTACAATATTTTTTTATCACATCAATGATTTTAGTACCAAAAAATTTACTAATTAATTCTTTATTATTATAAAAATTTCTACATTTTTTTTTCTGTAATTAATTATATAAATTATTAAATTTAATTAACTTTCTATATTTTGTAAATTATTTTTATTACCGTTTAAAGGTAATAATGATAAATATCCGATAAAAACAAAATAAATGCTTCCAAAAACATATCCTAATAATATATTGTCTAACTCTTCTAAATACAAAACTAATAAAAATAGGTTTATACCAATGATAATTGCTGCCAGAGTCCAAGAAGTAATTTTCCAAAATTTATTTGTTTTAAAACTAATTCCCATTACTTCTTCAGAACTTGTCAATTTAAGTAAAGGAATTATCGCAGTAGGAAGACAAAGACTTTGGAGAACATTCAATAATTCTCCCATTGCATCAAAGTTACCAACCTAGTGATAATATAAAAAAAAATGAATTTAAATTAAAAATTAAAAAATAATATAAAAATAATATAAAAAATAATATAAAAAAAAATAGTATAAAAAAATATAATATAAAAAAAAAATAATATATAAAAAATAATATAAAAAAAATATAATATAAAAAAAAATAATATATAAAAAATAATATAAATATAAAATATATACACTTACCGCAAATACAGCAACAAACATAGAAGGGACCAATGCAATACCACGAGTGATAGCATTTCGATGCCATGGTTTTTTTAAGACTTGACCAAAAAATCCTTCAATTACAAATTGACCTGCTAATGTTCCAGTCATTGTAGAACTTTGTCCTGCTGCTAATAATCCACAAGCCCATAAATATTTTGAAGCATAACCCAAAGTATTTGATAAAACTTTACCAGCATCATATAAACCTGGTAAAGGTTTTTCTTCATTGGGAGAATAAAATACTTGAGCAAAGACAACAACAATTGCCATATTTATTAAATATGATGCTAATAAAGCAACTGCACTTTCTATTGCAAAATAAAAATTTGCCTCTTTAAGTTTGACATGTGATGATGGATCAGTCTTACGTGTCATTACTAATATTCAAAAAAAAAAAAATTAATAATAATAAATAATGTTATAATATTAAAATATTCAAAAGACTCAAAAGACTAAAATAATTATTTTTGCAATTTACCCAGGGCTGAATGAAGATATAAATTATGTGGCATAATTACTAAAAATAAATTAAAATATTTAAAAAAAAAAAAATATTAAAATATATATTAAAAATATATTCGATAAAGAAAAGAATAACTTATTCATACCAGCTCCAACCATTGCAACCAATTGTATTATTGCTCGTCTAAAATATTATTAATTTCAATTTTACAATATTATTATTAAATTATTATTAAATTATTAACAAATAACGATTTAAAAAGTAATAGATGTTAAGAATAAATATTTACCGTGGCACATGTGGAATAATAATTCCTTTTACAATTTCTTCTGCATTGAAACCACTTAAAAACATTTCGATCCAAAAACATATAGCCATCGTGGTAATCAACGTCATAAAAAATGCTTCAAGTTTTCTCACTCCATAATTCTGTAATAACATAAAAATGAAAGTATCAAGTGCTGTCAACATTGTTCCTAACCACAAAGGCAACCCGAAAAGTATTTTAAGAGCAATTGCAGTTCCAACTATTTCTTGAATGTCTGATCCTATGATAGCAATTTCAGTTATTATCCATAACATTATTGATATGGGACGTGGATAATTATTTTTTATCAGTTGTGCAAGATGTTGTCCGGTGACAACACCTGCACGAGCTGCAAAACATTGAATCAAAAGACCAGCGATGTGTGCATATAAAAGAGCCCAAAGCTATTTTTATAGGACAAAATAAGCAAATGATTTTAATGTCTAGTGAGAAATAAAAAAAAAAGTAAAAATTTTGACGGTATTGTTTCTGAAAAATTTTTAACAAATAAATAACGACACGTACTAAAGAATAACCAGCCACTGCCCCAATTTGAAGATCTGCTTCTAAATTCCCTGGATCTAGATATGCTATTGACATTAAAAATCCTATAATAATAATGGTTGTAAAAAAAATATTAGATCATTTTACGAAATCTTACGAAATCATAATGTTCAATCAGGAGATAATGTTATTAAAGCTCGCCTCGAGTGATCATCACTAACCTTAAACACTATGATAAAATTGATTATCTGATGATGATCACTGGTGGTGAGTTTTAGCAATATCACCTGGAACAACATTCACACACATATACTAACCAGGACCCGTATATTTCCATAATTTAAACCATGAAAATCCACCTTCGACCCCACCAGTTTCAATTTCAGGTTTTATTAATACCTCTTCAAAATTAACACATTCCTCCTCGATAGTCTCAGGGCTTGTATTAGTTTCAATACTAGCTTCTGTACTCGAACTCAGAAGAAGTGAAGTTGTTTCCGTTGTTCCATTTTTGAGCCGCATTTTAAAAGGCAGAAATTTTGCAAAAACAAAGATTTTGACCAGCAAAAATGATCCAAACTAAACTTTTTAGTAATTGTGAGGATATAAGGAATTTTGAAAAAGAGAAGTTATTATAACTTTCATCACTTTAAAAAATTTACAAAAATTTGTCAAGATGAGTCAATAAAGAAAATTCAATTAAAATTTGCACGTTTATACTGCCCAAAAAAGTTTTGATTGGCTGATGATCTTAGGATACGAAGAATTCCGATTCATAAAACACTACATTATGTGTAACATTTCGATATTTCGAAAAACATCGACACGTGAAGCTTACAGTCAGGTATATTTTCAAAACGGGGGGTTGTCTAAAGCCATGTCCTATCACGCCTAAATCACGTGAATAACAAGATTATTATCCGAGCGCAGGTCTAATATATGACGCAAAACTGTTTGGAGAAAAAGATCGTTTTAATAAATTATTGTTTAAAATAATATATCAAATTTTTTTTTAATATGATGATGCATGTTTGATATATCATAAAAGATCGTTTTAAATAAATTATTGTATTTTAATTTATAAATAAAGTCATTTCTCTTGGCATAATAAATTCTATTTATTAAATTTTTTATTTATTGATTTCTTATATTTTTTTCTATTTATTCTATTTTAATATCTTACATCTTTCTTTATACATTTTGTATTAAAGGTTCTAAATGGGACTTTAATTCTTTAATAAGTTCATTCATTTGTTCATTGTTTCCCCTCTCTTCAACTTTTCAATATGTATCACATGTTCTCTCCATAAGCTCATTTATAGCCAACTGTCGATTTTCAGTTGCTCTCTCAGCTTTGGTTTGTTCTGATACATCTACTTCAATTAGTTCATTACAAATGTATATCTCAAAACCACCTTCCTCAAACATCCATTGGAAATTCCTCCATGAATTGGCTATCAATAATTTTGTAGCACCATATATATGTTCGTGAAAAATGTGATGACACAGAAGCAAATAATGAAAAAAAAAATTGCAATTACAATGTAACAAAGTCATCCCAGGCATGACTTTGCCTTTTTCGATTCTGTTTTCAACAGCGCAAACTTCATCAACAAGTATTCATTGAATTGAATAGGGAAATTTATGAAATTCATTAAGAATTTCATCATCCAAGCCCATAACTGAAATTTTTTTTGTACGGAATTCAAAAGCAACATATTCTGAATCCGTACATTTTTTTGATCCAATGTGACAATCCTGTAGCAAGCATTTTAATAAATTAAAAAAAAAATTATTAATATATAATAAAATGTATTTCAAAAAATCAAGTTAATAATAATACTCGTAATAAAGAAAAAAATAAAATTCAAATTAAATTTATAAATATGACAATACATACCAATTAAGCCATAACGTGAAGAGGTTGTTCTCTTTAATTCAGAGTGATACGATTCTAATGAATTTGTTGAGGTCACCTGCAAAAGAAAGGAAGAATACTGGCACACCCAAAGTACCTATTGTTGACTTTTCTTCTTATAATATTGTGAAATATACTGCTTGATGGTCAGAACTGGACATTCATCACAACCAATCTTAGTTCTTTTATACATTGCTTGAATCATCTTTTGTCAGGTCTTCACATTGTATATCTTGCTCATCCAAGTTTGCATCAGATACACAGTGCAAAATATAGTATCACATTCTTGCTCTCTGTTTTTAAGTCCTGAAAATACTAGTTTAATACTATTTGCTTCTATATTGCTTTAATCCTGGAGAAAATATCTGGATCTCCAATGGAGTGCGAATCATCAAATAATCATTAAAGCTTCTGCAATGGTATCAGAATCCTCATTACTGATGAAAAAGTGAGCTCCTATATTTCAACATCCATAATTATTACAAATATACAAGGTAAATAAATGATAATTGTAACAATTAGTCTTGTGTGTTAAATCTATTAACATCAACTATCCATATTTCTCAAGATTTTCAATTTGAATTTGGTTTATAAAAGTAAAGCCATAGGTAGATTTATGAGGAATCGTATAACGTTCGACCTTATATTGCTGATGCTCTAAGAAAAAAAATTGACTCCCAAATATCTAATTCTCATTCAGAGTTGCCAATAAAATAATTATCAAGAGATTTATGAACTTTATGCTTAATATTTATAACCTCTTTAATCCTCAGCTTCTTTACACTTGCACTTAAGTCCATTTTCTCTGTTGCATATTCTTTAACCACTGTTACTAGTTGACCTTTTGAACTAATTTTATTTTCCAAAAGGCAATTTACAACTAGCAACTCATAAACAGTTACTTTGGTTTACGAATTAAAGAGAATAATAGAAGAAAAATAAAAGAAATATTAAGTTAAATACTAAAAACTAATTAAAAGACTTAAGAATTTAGGATCACGGAATTTAAATATTGATTAATAATTAAATTTTAAAGGTTGATTGAAGAAATTAAGACAAAGAATTGAATATCCCTATAAAAACTATAATATTTAAAATATACTTAAAATATATTTAAAATATATTCAAAGTATATTTTATTAAGTATTTTTTAAGTATATAAAA